CTTCAATTTTACCTTACAAAATGCATTGGAGTAGCTCATATCTGCCTTGATTTCTCATTATATGTCTCAAGTACTGCAGCTTACGGCTTTTCACGAAATTGACCAAAACCGCGGTTGTGTTCATCCTCCGCAGTACTTCTTCATTGGTGACTTTGTCTGTCCATGGTACCTTCAGAATCCTTTTGTATGACCATAGCTCAAAAGCCTGAAGTTTTGATAGAGTTTCCGCCTTCAATGTCCACGTTTCTACTTTGTTTATTTTTGTTTCTAGGGTGAGGTCATGGCTCTTGAACACCGAGCTCTTAGTCAAGAATGCACTTTTTGGCTTTCCGATGCGACATTTAATCTCTTGGGTATTGTCCCACGACTCATTGATTATAGTTCCTAAGTAGTTGTAATATGAGTCACGTTCAATTCTCATGTTAACTAAATGAGTATGAAGAATAATATCCTGGCTTGCTAACCTGAGAGCATGGTACAGAAAGATCTCAACACAACTATTCCGTGCTCTAGTTATGTAGTTATCTAGTCCATATGTTCTACTTATTTCCGTTATTTTGTTCATTATGTTTTGCAGCCCTTCTATGGTATTGGAAAACACTATTGTATCATCTACATACCGCAGGTTATTGAGCTTGACTCCATTTATTGAGATGCCTTCATCAATATATTTTAGAGCCTCTTCAAAAATGTACTACGGATATAGATTGAATATCAATGGTGTCAATAGAATTGACCTGGAAGTCATCAGCAGATCAAGAAGAGAGAATTGTAAGAAACCAAATAGACTATGTATTAGTTAGACAAAGATACCAGAACGCAATTATATCCGCAAAAACCTATCCAAGTGCCGACATAGGATCAGATCACAACCCAGTAGTGACCAAAATTAGGCTCAAAATGAAAATAATAGAGCGAAGAACAACAAATGCAAAAATCGATACAAGTAAAGAAGGAACCCACTCATAAGGCAACGCCTGGCAGATGAAATCAACAACGGATTAATGAATGGTAAAGAACAAATTCTGCAAAATTCTGGGACGGAAAAAAAATTATTAATAAAGACAGAAATAGATAAAAGTCAAAAAGAAATTCTAATACAAACCAGATATAAAAAGAAGCAATGGATGTCGGAAGAAATTTTAGATTTAATGGAAAAAAGACGTCAATATAAGAACAAAGATAATCAGATGTACAAAAAAATGGATAAACAAATAAAATACAGAATTAAGAAAGCGAAAGAACAATGGCTAAAAGAACAATGCGCAGAAATAGAAGAATACCAGAAAAGATGTGATTGTTTTAACACACATAAAAAAATTAAAGAATTAACTCACAACAATAGAACAAGAAAACCGGGAATACTGAAAGATGCAAATGGGAAACTTGTGTTGAATACTAACGACAAATTAAAGCTATTAAACTGCTAAGGCTGATAATACAGGGAAAGACAAAAGGATGAGGTACCGGTTTAAATGCAGTTCTATAGAACTCTTAGAGCAGCAGTAGATAAAGTAAAGATAGTGATGATGATATCCAACCTCCGATTGAGAGACGGCACTTAAAGAAGAAGGCATTACATGTTTGCTAAATTTTTATTGACTTTTTGAAACTCTTTAATAGTTATGATGACATAAAATTATATTTATTTACAAAATTAGACGGGCTCATAAATGTAGATATAATTGAATCGTTTACGTGAACAAATACGTATTTTAACGGATTGATCGTAATATACCAACCCTAAAATTCTTGTATATATTATAAATATAACTTGCAAGCTTTAATATCATACTTTTTTGTTTATTTTTATTACTCTTTTTTGCACTACTAGTAGTAAGTATAACTAAACTTGTCGAGTATTGCTAGATCTTCTAGTTTAGTAGCCTTGTTCCAGCTTAGCTATTTTCAATTTTCAGCATCTGAAACTAACGAAAACCCATACAGCATGCTTAGCTAATTATTTCGGGACGGTAAGAAAAATTTTGATTAGAATCATCTCAGATTTTTCGTAGTGTGGAATACATATTTCGAAGTGATTATACAAGGTTCTTGGTGTTGAGAAATTTTATCCATACCATGACCTAGCAAAAGGCTTAGGCAAGCAATATGTAATTAACAATATACAATTAACTAATAGTATAATTTGATAGTGACATTTTCAGTTCTTATTTTCATAATTCTTTCTCTTTTACATTTTCATTTAATAGCTCATCGAAGAAATTTTTCAACTCGGACATTATATGATCCACCTCACTGGATCTGTAGGGTAGGGAGGGCGAATTAAGTCTCATAGCACTTAGGCCACAGTTTACCCATTGTGTGTCCTCCCAGGGAGCTGTCATCCTTACCTCATTGTCCATCGTGACATTTCTAGAAAGGACTTCACGTACAGTATTCCTTCGTTTGATCTCTTATACATACTCCTGCTCTGGTAACCCTTTTTTGTCTTCTTCACTTCCTGGTAGACACTAAATTTCTGTTTTCGGAACTTTTCTGCAATATATTGTATTTTTTTTTTTCATTGTACTGTGTTTTTAGTACTCTGTATCTGTTTTTAAACTCTCTTCGTTTTTATCTATAGCCTTGTTTGTTGGCTTTATTTTGGATAATATTGTTTGTCTTGCTTTAGATTTTGTTTTTGCTAGATCTCTACTTTCCTTGTTTAACTACAATCTGTTTCTACTCCTGTCTCTCATTCGTGTTTTTGCTACTTCAATTGTATGTGCTTTTCATATTTTTGTCTTATGTCTCTATCATTTTGTCTTATATCTCTATAGCATGAAGGATAAAGTAGCAAGTATATTTTCTTTTGTCCTCCAACATTTTACCGATAACCCTCCACTATCACACCAAACTACATATTGTCAGATTCGTCATTGTCATTGTAAAATTCTTAATTGTATGTCAAAGAATGCGCAATAACAAAGCAATAAATAAGTATTTAGTTTGTAAGAAAAACTTCAAAACCCCGTTTATTGAAAATGAAGCATTTGAGGACATATAACGAACTGTAATTATTTTTTCATACAGAATTACCCCCTGAAGTTTGTCGCACATATTTACTAATATCCCATCCTGTATAATATAATAAAAATCATACGAGTAAGCTGAATTTTGCAGAGGATATTAATTTAAAGCCCCAGAAAAGATTCACAAAAGTTTACCACTTTTACCGCCGGGCTTCCCCCTGAAACCCCCATCGTAGGAAGGTAAAAAAGCAAAAAAATATATTTACCTGATAAGAATCTGTACGCCGTATAAAAAATGTTTCAAATAAAAAATGTAGCAGAGATAATTTTAAACAAAAAATGTTTATAAGCACTTTTGTGTAGAATGAACCGTTCTCTTAGAAAAAATGCTTGAAGCGACCGTCGATTTTGAATGCCAGTTATGCGCGCGAAACCTATGGTAAATAAAATTTTTACCAGCTCGACGGTAAAAGTTTGATATCTTTTTATCCAAGTGTTCAATCGATAAAAATCAAGATGCATTTTAAAGGTAAAGAGTGTAGCTTTCGTACGCAGTTTTTTTATTTTCCCAGAATAAACTTAGTTTTTATAAAGGTGTTAAATAAATATATGTGGCGCGATTTTTGCCATTTTTTACGATTCTCGTGAGATCAATAAAATTGATCACCTTCATTGACCAGTCTAGTAAAATTTCCATTTTTAGAGATCAACCTTTAAAACCTATGACATGAAATTTCAATTTTGATTTGTGACAACAAATATGAGGCATTTGAAATGTGAATAAAAAAAGCAGAATTTAAAGTTTTACATGAGGAACACAAGGAGGTGTTTTTAGGTGTAGTTTATTGCAAAAGTTTGGTTTTTTTTGTAAAACGTAATAGTGTAATTGAAAAAAAAGTTTTAAATCTTTTAGATCGTTTGTTATGTGAAAGTTTAAATCCAGCGTTTTTAAGATACTTCAAATACCTCACATTTGTTGCCAAAACTCAAAACTAAAATTTTATGCTATAGGTTTTAAAGGTTAGGCTCTAATTAGCTAGTAATCGAAACTTCATAGTGGCCAGTCAATGAAAGGGATATATTGTATTGATCTTGTTGTTACGAATATTTATTATTTGTATACAATGTATTTAGTTAATTTTTAGTTCTATCATGTTACCCAAAATTTCTCGTTGCTACTGTTCTATAGACTGTGTCAAATATAATGGGAATTAATTAGTTTTTTATATTGTTAATTTTATATATTGTAGGAATTTAGTTTTTTTTTTCGCAAATAAAAACAGTAAACTACAAATCCGTCAATTGCTGGCTGTATAATAAAGATAAATTCCCAACACTTGTGAAAATCATAAAAAATGGCAAAAATCTTCCCACGTTTATTTATTTAACACCTGTATAAAATCTAAGTTTATTTGCGGCAAAATACAAAAATTGCATATGAAAGCTGAATTCTTAACCTTTAAAACGCGTCTTGATTTTTGTCGATACGACAAAATTCACGCGCGTAACTGGCATTCAAAATCAACGGTCGCTTCAAGCGTTGTTTGTAAGAGAACGGTTTATTCTACACGAAAAGTGCTAATAAACATTTTTGTTTAAAATTATCTCAGCTATATTTTTTATTCAAAACATTTTTTTTAGGCGTACAGATTCTTGGTAAATTGATTTTTTTACGTTGTTACCCCTTACGAGGGGGGTTTTAGGCAGAAGCTCGGGAGTAAAACAAGTAAACTTCGTGCATCTGTTTTGAGGTCCCAAAATTAATATGCTCTTCAAAATTTAGCTTGTTCGTATGATTTTTAGAGGTTCAGTAGAATTTTCGTCTCTGACGACTGGAGTATAACGTTAATATAATGTATAACAGTTTTCCACAGTTTACATTCAACGAATAACTGTTTATAATCACGAAAATATGAATTCCACATATTCACTGTCACCCTCATTTGCAACTTATATCATACTGTATGCGTGTCAAGTACATAGCCGCTTACCTCTCGCCGCTGGCAACAATGTTTTCTTCTCTTTTAGGTTTGGGAGACTGGTATCGACATGTTTAACCGAAAGCCGCGAAAAGGTATTTCCTACCTTCAAGAACAAGGTTTACTGGGTCCTAGTCAAGAAGATGTGGCCAAATTTCTGCATAATGACGAACGTCTAGACAAGACGTTTATCGGGGAATTTTTAGGTGACAACGACGAATTTAGCAAACAGTGCATGTATACTTACGTGGATCAAATGAATTTTACCAACATGGACTTTGTTGCTGCTCTTAGACATTTCTTAGATGGATTCAGGTAAGAGTTTTGATATTGCCTTTTATACGAGGCAATGAAGTAATAAACCAACCAAGTTTTGCAGTTGGGTGGATCTTAATGAAACTTGTTGCGTTCGATTCATCAGAACTTTAGGAAATTTTGTGAAATAAAGTGATCATGTCGAAATGAAAATTGCATTATTGAACAAGGCAACTACATTTTCCAAAGTAGATTTCGAAGTCATGAAACATAATAAATTTGTAATTCGAAAATAGCTTCAATATCGGGGTTGACTCGAGGTGTTTTTGGGGATGCTGAATACGAATATCATGATGGCGATAGTCTCCGAGGCACCTGGTGCCCAGGACGAATTTCGTCTCCTGCAGTGTTGTGAAAATTCGATACAAAATCAGTGCAAAGTCATTATTCAGGGTTTTTTGGGAGCTGATCACGTATGTCATGTCGACGATGGTTCCCGTGGCACCTGTGGCTTAAGAAGGGATTTGTCACCTGCATCTGTATGGAAATCTGATACAAAATCAGTTCGTTCTGCACATCAGGTGCATCGGAGACCATCGTCGTCATGATTTTCGTGTTCAATGACCCTTAAACACCCCGAGTAATGACTTTGCACTGATTTTGTATCGTTTTTGAACAAAACTCTAGGATATGAGGCCCGTCTTGTGAATCAAGTGCATCGGAGACTATCATCGTCATGATATTCGTGATCGCCGACCCCAAAAACCCGCTATTAACCTAGCGGGTTATTATGTAGTGTGTATTTAACTTATTTCTGTCAATTATTTCCGCATTACAAATTTATTATTTTTCATCACTTCGAAATACACTTTTCCGAAATACACAAAATTTCCTAATGCTCTTACGAATCGACTGCAATAAGTTTTATTGAGATGAAAAATTGTTAGGTTTGTGTTTTTTACCGCTTCACTGTCTCGCCTATTTAGTTTTATTAGAACCCATTTACGATATAATACAGTAAATTTTTTGTATTTTTATTTATTCCATAATTATCACTACGATAACACTGCTCACTCTTAACTTTAAGCACTACTAATACTTTAAGCATTGTTATTGTGAAGAAGGATGAGTTTTCTTTTAAAGTTTTCTTTTTTAAATTATTATAGTTAAAAAAATCGTCTGGCTAATTGGTCTTTACCAAAGCCATCTAATTAAGTAAAAAAAAAGTATCACTACGATAATGATTATTACAATTACAATCTGGTCATAAGTGACCAATGAGCAATTTTAATCTAACCTAAATTACCACTGTTCCTTAAAATTAAGAGCTTGCTCCTTAGCATATCTTATCTTAACCGACAAGATAGTTCACTACTCTAACATGCACACGCGCGCAAGCATTATGCTCTGCTTTTTACTATCACCTATCACCCAAACTAGTTCAAAAGGTTTTGTCCTCTTCAATCTTCTAGTGTGCCCAGTAGTATCGAGAAGCTGTATTTCCTCAATATTCTCGTGCCTATGAAGTCGTTGCTCGTGACTTCCTGCCATCTTCTTTATGATTATGTCCACAGTTTCCATTCCTAGGTCATTATGGAGGTCACTGTTTGTGACATACCAAGAAGCATCTACAATATTTCTCAGTATTTTATTTTGGAATCTTTGTATTATTGTTATATTACTTGGTCTAGTACACCCCATAGTGGGCATCCATAAGTTTATACAGGTCTCAATATTTGTTTGTAAAGTAATAACTTATTATGCATCGACAATCTACAATATTTCTCAGTATTTTATTCTGGAATCTTTGTATTATTATTATATTACTTGGTCTAGTACACCCCATAGTGGGCATCCATAAGTTTATACAGGTCTCAATATTTGTTTGTAAAGTAATAACTTATTATGCATCGATAATGTGGAGTTTCTTCCAACTAGCCAATACATTTTTTTGTACCTTATATTTAGTTCTTCCCTTTTTTTTCTTTACGTGAGCCTTCCAGCGTATCTTTGCATCTAATGTTATACCCAAATACTTATCTGCATATGGTACTTGGATATTATTGATTATAACTGGTATATATTATATTTTTTTGTTGGTGAAATTAACATGGGAGGATATACGAATAGCTTCATTCAGCCTGATTCTCAATTTTTGTATCCATTTATGGATTTGGTTTACTGCTATTTGGACCTTGTTGGTCGCTTCTTCACTAGTCGTTCCTACTGCTTGGATAGCTGTATTATCAGCAAAAGTGGCAACTGTGTTGTCTTCCAGTACAGGTATATCACACGTGTATAGTAGGTATAGGACCGGATCCAACACACTGCCTTGTGGAACGCCTGCTCTAATTTCTTTTAAGTCCGAATAACAGTCTTCTTGCTTAATTCTAAAATGTCGTTATTTTATGTACGATTGTAAAAGTTATGAGTACTGTTTAGGTAAAAAACATTAAAAAACATTTTAGTTTATGTATTAAACCTTCATGCCAGACTTTATCAAAAGCCTGTGCAGCATCAGGGAAGACAGTTGAACAGACTTTCTTTTCTTCTAAAGATCATTCGATAATATTCGTGATTCTGTGCACCTGGCTGGTTTTTGAGTGCTTATCTCTAAATCCGAATTGATGTGTCGGAATCAAAATTTTTTCTTCAATAATCGGTTTTATTCTCTTGAGGAGCAGTTTCTCAAACAGCTTCGATATTACAGGGAGCAGAGATATAGGTCTTTATGACGAAACCTCATGTGCTGGTTTTCCTGGTTTAGGAATCATAATGACTTCTGCCATTTTCCATATCATTGGTAAATATTTTAGTCTGAACGCAGCATTAATAAGTAATTTTACGATAGCTCTTCAAGGAAGATTTTTCAACAGCTCACCCGTAATTAAATCATAGCCCGGAGCTTTCTTCGGGTTAATATTTTCCCTTATTGCTTCCATCACTTCTTTTGGTGTAGTTAGCCGAATTTCTTTCTCTAATTGAACAGGTTCCTCCCATCTTTCTTCATCCTCTTGAGATTCATTTGGTTTGAATGTATTTTCAAGATATGCAGCAAATAGCTCTGCTTTTTGTGCACTACTTCTGACCCAATTTCCATTTTCTAGTTTAATAGGCAGAGCGTGAATAATGGGTATTTTCAGTCTTTTAGTAGCTTTCCATAAGGAATAATCTGTACTACCTTCATCTGTTAACTCCTGTAAGGAAGAATTAATTGAGTCATTCTTTAATTGTAGGATAGTCCTTTTGAGTTGTTGACTTGCACGATTAAGCTTAGTCTTATTTTGAGGCTACCTTGTTTGTTGCCAAATTCTTCTCAAACTTTGTTTTTCAATTATCATGTTTATTACTTCCTTTGGATAATTGTTTCGTTTTAACCTAGGTTTCAGTGTAGTAGTATTTTCCCATGCTGCTTGCTGGATATTGTTCTCAAACAATTTTGCTTCTTTATCTAATTGCCCTGCGGTTTATAGTGGTACATTTAGATTTATTTTGTTTTCAAGGCTCAGTTTAAAACTTGCCCAATCCGTCAATTTGTTTGTTAGTGTAGGGTTACTTTGTTTTTTTTAATAATCTTGTCACTCATGGTTAGTACTATGGGCAATTGATCAGAATTTTAGTTCCAACAAATAAAGAAGTCTATTAGATAAGGGATCTTGTTTCTATCTGTAGGCCAGTAGGTTGGTCTACCAGTTAAAAGTGTTTCACATTTATGTTCATTCATAGCTAACAAAAGCTCCTTTCCCTTAATGGTGGTTATTCTAGAGCTCAGTGTGTGTACTTTGCATTCAAGTCACTTCCAATAATAAACCTTTCCCCTAAGCTTTTCAGAAATTCAGTATACTGCTTTTTTTAATGGAATGTTTAGGTGGGCAGTATATTGAACTTACATTTATTTCAAAAGTTTTAGTTTTTATGTTTACTGCACTAGCTTGAATATATTTGGTTTTATATTCCATCTCTTCATGATGGTAAATACTATCTTTGATGATGATTGCGCTGCCTCTTTTCTCCGCATTGTCAGGACGTACTGTGTGGTATACCTTGTACCCTTTAAATCTAATATAGGACTGATTTGTGAAATGCATTTCAGAAACAAGACACAAATCAATTTTTTCTATGTCAAGGATTGCTTGCAGTTCTTGTTGATGTTTAAGCAACCCGTTGGCGTTCCATGTGACAATTCTAAGGCTATTAGCCATTTCTTACCTTCGGAATAGCACCTTGAGCTCTATATTCCAGGGAAGTGACTCTTTCATTTAATTTTTTTAATTCCTGTAATATCATTTGTAGAGTATGTTCTGTTTCCTTTTAAATCTCTGTTGTTTTTTGATATTTATCATTATAATTTTCATTCCGACCTTTTGTTACCGCACTGCATTTCTTATTACTAGTACCTGTCTGTGTGTTTTCTTTCACCAATATTTGACTTGGTTTCAGTTGTCCTTCTGTCTGGAGTGTGTGGCAAATTCAATTTTTTCAGATTTCTGTTTTTTATCTTTTGCATTTCCTTTGCGACGATACATCCTCGGTAGTTGGCAGGATGGTTTTCTCCACAACGAACATACTTTTGTTTAACATTTTCAGGCTTGTCGCAATCTTTAGTAAGATGTTTTTTGTACATTTAGCACACCTTGGTCCTCTAGCATAGAGCTTCCATGTGTGACCATATGCTTGACATCGTTTGCATTAAAAAAACCAAAGTGATGTCAATCCGAAAAAACCAAAACGTACCTCAACCTTGCACAATAAATGGGCACATCTTAGAACAGGTCAATAGATTTAAGTACCTGGGATGTTGGATCGATAGCAGCCTAAATCCTGATCAAGAAATAAGATCGAGAATAAACAGGCTAGAAAATCCTTCGAAAAAATAAAAAAACTGCTTTGTGATTCTCGAATAAAACTCGAAATTCGACTACGTTTATCAAAATGCTACGTCTGGTCGACTCTTCTATATGCAGTTGAAACGTGGACCCTTAAAGCATCAACCGTAAATAAATTGGAGGCCTTTGAAATGTGGATCTACCGGAGAATACTCAAAATTTCATGGACATCGC